AATATACTCTTCAGCAAGGATCATGTTTAATTACAAAATAACAGAAGGACCAATATCTGAAGATTCAAAAACACCAAAGTAAAATTGAGGCAAATAAAGGTTTTAGTATGCTGCTATGCAAAGCCCATTTAGAGAGAACTAGTATGGAACTACAGTAGTAGAATACTGGCCTCTAGTTAACCTGCCATTGGCTCTGACCCAGTTTTAATCGGAAGAAGCCAGGATTTACAACCTGCTTAAGGATGGAGTTTGACAACTGCTATAATCAGAAGAGCTGTCAACACAAGGACAGCTGTCAAGCCAAACCGTAATTCATAAAAAATAATAGCTAAGCCCCCAAGACATCCCCAACATTGTCTGCACTCACTGGATTTAACTATACTTATAGTTTTATGAAAGTTCCAAGAATAGGTTAAGGGTCCTAAAATCAAATCAAATCAACAAACAGCTATTGAGTGCCTATTATATAAAAAAAGGTTAAATAATATTAAGTGACTAAAAAGATACAATAAGTCCAGCAGATTCCCTGGCATTTGGTAGGTACTTAATAAATGGTAACAATAATAATAATAATTATTATTATATGCTAAACTGTTTTGATGAGCTTAAAAACTGGCAAAAGTCTAGTGACCTGGTTAAAAAAGAAATCTAAATTAAAAACTAATCACTTCTATAAATAATTAACTTAAATTATTAATTTTATGAAACATTCCTGGTTGTCAGAATATTTTAATTTTATATATTTGTAATGACAAAACCTCTAACTAATGATATTATTTTAGTGTTTAATTATCTTGATTATAACGTATATATTTATTTTGTTCCTTCTACAATGAATAATATAATGAGAGACAGAAATAGAGGTTGTTTTACAAGATCAATTTTGGGTAGGATTCCTGAATGAGGTATAATTTTTATTAATGTCTAAACTCTCAGTGCAGAAATAAGACTATAAAAGTGCATAGATGAACAAAGATATTGATATATATGTTTACTCATGAATATGGTTTTGAAAACTAGTTTTGACTCACTGACTGAGGTGACCAATGATAAAGGATTTTCATTTATTTTATTTCCAGAAAAGATCACCTTCCACAAAATAATGTCTGGTTTAAAAGGATACTAGGCCTGTAATTATGGAAAGAACACTGGAAGTGTAGTCAGGAGACCTGGACAAGTGTCTTGGCTCTGATACCTACAACTGTGTTCCCCTGTCAAGGTCACTTTCCCTCTTGGACTTTAGTTCTTCATTTGCAAATATAGCAAATGTGTGTGTGTGTATATTATATATATGTAATTTTAATTAACAAATATTTTAAGTACAGCATAGATAGGACTATAAAGATTAATAAAACAAAATTTTAGTTTTATTACAAATAATGCTGCAATAAATGTTCTTAATCATGTCTCATTACATACATGTTCAGTAGTATTTCTAGGGTATGCATCCAGAAGCAGACCTGCTGGGCTGTAGACTTTACTAGATCTTGCCAAACTGATCTCCAAGTGGTTGCAACAGCTGACACTCTCCTCAGCAGTGTATGACAGCTCGTGTTGCTCCACATCCTAACGTTAATATTAGTAGATGTCTACATGTTGCCAGCCTGACCACAGTGAAATCATATCTGAATGTTTTAATCTGCATTCCCTGATTACTGCTGGGGGACTTTTGTGTTTCTGCACCTCTTCTAAACAGAGGTAATGACAGGCTTTGTTCTGAACTATCTTTTCAAGGATGTTTGGATAGTGAACAGCCTTGGACAACTGAGGTAGTGTTTCCTTCCAGAGTAGAGGGCAAGTTTTTTTTTTACTGTCCAGTATAATAAAGGTAGTATGTTCTCAAAGGCAAAGGCTGGGCAGGTCTGTTTGTAGCTCATTACAAAAGGCTGGAGTTCTGTAAGCTCAGGATTCCCAAGCTCTGGCACACTGTGTGCGTGGGACCTCCCTGGGCTTTTCTGCATGGTGCCTGTGGGACTCAAGGGGAAAGCAAACGAACATGAAGCTCATGCCGCCTTCTGTGCCGTTAATAATAGTCTTTGTCTTTGATCCAGGGTTTTGTGTCCTTTGCTAGCACCCCTGAAACTGTGTCAGGCTAACCTGTTAGCCTCCAAGTAGGGTATAATCACAGACTACTGACAGTTATTAGTGAGGTTGGACATCTTTTCTGGTTGTTTATTTGGCTCTTCCCATTTGTGAACTGCCTCCATATTCTGGAGTATATCCTTCTAGTTGATTAACTTCCTTATTGACTAGGTAGGTGTTCTTGGTTTATTCTGAATAATGATCTTAAGTAGGTTATTTTAAATATCTTCTCCCAGTCTGTACTTTGTATTTTTACTTTGCTTATACTGTCTTTCATTTTACAGCGGTTTATAACTTTAATGTAGTCACCATAACTTAAATTATGATTTGTACTTTCGGTGTTGTGTGTGTTAGCTCTGCATTTGCCCAGGACTTAGCTCCAGTAAAAGACCGTTGCAGGCAGGCTGAGGAGTACTGAAGCCTGCTCGTCCCAGGAAGAAAGCCCCTGACTGGAGCCCGGAGGAGAGGGGGCCTGTGCTCTTGGCTACTGCATCCTGGAGCAGAGGCTTCGCCCTGCTAAGCTGGGAAGGGGGAAGGAGGGAGTGATCTTGTTTCAAATACCACAGACTCTTGCCTTCTTTCCAAATTTTCACAGATTTTCTTGACTCGATGTTTCTTCATTTGCTATCTGTCCTCAGCACCACTTCGAGAAGTTTTAAGTGGCTGTATTTTTAAAAATGATTTTCATGGTTTCATGGGGAAGCAGGCCAGTGGGGCTCCCCACACTGCCACGGCAGAGTCAATCTCTGCCTTTATTATTATAGCTTAAAATAACGTCCTGGTATCTGAAAGAACAGGTCCTTCTTCCTTACTCTTCTTCAAAGCGCCTCTGTTACTCCTGGCTCTTTGTTCTCCATATAAACTTCAGGACCAGTTAGTTAGGTTCCACAAAAGCCAGCTGGGTGGGATTCTTATGAGAATTCTGAATTTGTAGTTTAGTTTGGGGAGAATCCATCATTATATTTTTTTCTCACTTATTAGCATGGACCATTTCTCCTATTTCTGTCTTTTTAAAAAGTCAAGCAATATTTTCTATGAAGGTTTTGCCTATCTTTTGGTAGGATGAGTTCTAGGATTTTGTTGCTACTGTAAATAATACCTTTAATTTTTTTTTCACTTTCTACCTTGTTATACTCATGTTTAAGAATGTAATTTTAAAAAATTGATCTTGTACTCAGCATCTTTGCTAAACACTGTACTATTAGTTTTAATAATGTGACTGTAGAGTCTCTCAGATTTCTATGCAGCTACTTATATTGTTGGAGATTAATGATGATTTTGTGTCTTTTTACCCATCTCACATACCTTTTATTTCTTTTTTCTTTCTTAGTAGTTTAGAATTCTAATACAATATTAAGAGAGATACTTGCGGCAGGCATCCTTTTCTTGTTCCCGATTTTAAAGGAAATGCTTCAAAGATTCCATCTTTAATAATGTCTATGCTAGGTTTTGGATAGACTATAACTTAATCAGTTGTAACTTTATAACTTAGAATTTTCCTTCCATTCCTAGTTTATTAAGAGTTTTATCTTAAGCAGTAATATTAGCTAACATTTACTGAGTATATACCACAGTGTTAGACATTGTTCTAAGCACTTTACATGGATTAACTCATTATATTTTCATAACAAATCTCTGAGGTTATTACCCCTATTTCACATGAGTAAACAGGTACACAAAGGTTAAATAATCTGTCCAAGTTTAGTAGCAGAACTACAATTTGAATCCAGAAGTCTTGCTTCAGAGCCCAATGTTTTAATCACTTTTCCATACTGCTTCTTAGACTAAGCACTGAATTTCTTCAAATGCTTTTTCTGCATTTGTTTTGACCATATAGTGTTTCACATAATTTGCTAATGTGGGAAATTAATAAATTTTTTAAATGTTAAATCATCTTTGAATTCCTGGGATAAATTCAACTTGATCACAACGTATCTTTCTTTCTAAAATACATTTTATTTAGGACTTTTGAATATATGTTCAAAAGTGAGATTGACTCACAATTTTCCTTTTTCCTGCTGGTTTTTGGTACCCAGGTGATACTAGCTAAAGTCATAAATGAGTTGGGGGCATGCATTTGGTGACATTTCAACCTTTTTTATCAGGCTAAGGTACCGTAACAGCTAGCCCGATAATTTAGACTCCTAGACAATGTGAGGTTCCTGACATCCAAGCAAATGCTAAGCAGCGGACAAAAGTGCTCAGGGGCACCTGGGCTACTTACTACTGAATGGAGATCTGGGACTGCAAAACTAGTAAAATAGCCTAATGTATCCCCTCCCAAAGGGTCTGAAGGTGGTTGATCCTTTATCTGATTTAAGTATTGGTGGCTGTCTTTTATTCAACCACATTCACAAATAGAAAAAAGAATACTTTTACTACTTTACAGTTTACAGAATACTTCAATATCTTTTATCTCATTGAATTTACCCAGTAGTTCTTTAAAGCCACATTATTTCCATCTTACAGATTATCCTCTATTTTATAGATGATTTAAATGAAGATTATTTAACTAAGCTATTTAGTGGGGGAAATGAGTTAAAAAATGAAGTCTATTTTTTTTTATTACATCAAGAAAGTATTGCTTATAGGATAGATTCTAGCTCCTACAGTAACAGTGATTAGCATCCTAGTTGTCACTGACAGTAAAAAGAATGAAATAATAAATTTTCAAAGGGGGATTGGAGGAGCCTTCATTTCTGTTGATAGTACAGAAATGCTCAATTCACTATGAATGTGCCCATAAGAATTTTAATCTATCTTCAACTTTAGAGGTTATTAATCTATTTTTTTAAACAAAGCGTTACTGTATCTCTGCTAGTGACCAGGCATTTTTCTAAGCACTATATAGTGTTGGACAAAGTTGAAATAAACATATAAAGTTTCAAATAATTATTAATAGTTAAGAAACATCTTACCATAATGTAGAGCTGTTTGACCTTCATTGTCCTATAAAAGAAACAAATAATACATTTAAAAGTCTAAGTTAAAAAGTGTGGAAGCACATAGCTACAGCAAATATCTGATATTACAAAGTTCTATAGGTTTATCGGATATAGACAATGAAGAATTCAGTTCGTTGAGCCTCATAGTAACTTTTGACAAAGCTCTTTAACTTGGAGAAAAGGAGAATGTTGACTAGCATACGGTTACTAGGGGTTGCGGGGAGAGGAACGAGGAATTACTGTGGAATGTTACAGAATTTCAGGGCAGGGCGGTGAAAGTGTTCTGGGGATGAGCAGTGGTGATGGACGCATAACAATGTGCATGTACTTAACGCCACTGACCCACACACTTAAAAATGGTTAAAAGGTTAATTTTATGTTATGTATATTCCACCACCATTTAAAGAAGAGAAAAGAAAAAGGTGTAAGCCCCAAACTGCAAGTGGCAATGTTCTCCACTTCTTGGAGAAAAACAGTCTGCAGTAGGAGTAAGGAAGAAGTATTGACAAAGAAAAAAACAGCGGTGAGAGATGGAGGGAAAGTGAGAGTCTCTGGTTCTTGTCACTCCGACTATATCCTTGCCTTTCTTAGTTAGGTAAGCCAACAACGAAACACTCCCTAGGCAAATGTGATCTTTTTGTCACTTGCAAACTAAGAGTCCTCACTAATACAGTATACAAGGCAATTTATAATTCAAACCTTGGTCATGTTCCTCCCAATTCCTTCTCCTCCCAATTCTGTAACTGCCAGTTACCAATCAAATGGAAGTCCAATTGCCTACCTAGACTCCTACTTCTGTAAATGCTCTTTACTCTGCTGGAAAACTATCCTGCGGTCTTTAAAAACAGTGTCTTGCTCTTTTCTCATGTTTTAAAATTTGTCTTTGATATGTTTGAGCATTTTAAATAGACTTATTCTGTAACCCATGATAGTCCCTATGTTTCTTTGATTTGAGTTCATGGAGAGGAGGTGGGGTGACAATACATGTGATGTTTGTTGTGCTGCCTGAGGTTCGCTTTTTGTTGATGGCTTCCTGTGTGCTTTATAATTTTGGATTGTAAATTTCTACTAGTGGGGTTTTATCTGTGGAAAATTCTGTGCTGTGTTTCCTGGATTGAAAGTCTTTCTCTCCACAATGATTTTGCTTTTGTTTCTGCCAGGCACCTCAGACATATTATCAGTCTGAGATCCTTATGTTGATTTCTTAGCTTGTGGATTTTTGAACACTTAAGTAGTGTAAACTTAAAAAGGGCAGCCCGGCCGGGCGTGGCTCAGCGGTTGAGCGTCGGCCTAGGATCCAGGCGATCGAGGTTTGATTCCCAGTCAGGGCACATGCCCGGGTTGTGGGCTCGATCAATGACTCTCTCATCATTGATGTTTCTATCTCTCTCTCCCTCTCCTTTCCTCTCTCTGAAATCAATAAAGATATATTTAAAAAAAAATAAAAAATAAAAATAAAAAGGGCAAACTTCTCTCCCTTCCCATCTTCAACTACAGGGCTTGGAGCACAGGCCAAGACAAACTCTCTGTGTCAACTCTGTGTTGATGGGCAGATTTTTTAGTTTACTTTTTTCCTGATGGTGGTGTTGAGATCTCTACCCCATGGATACTGAGACTAGCCAATCCTTTCAGGGCAGACCAGCGCTGGTTTTAACGTACCACTTTCTTTTTAAAGCTTTGGGTTTTTAATAAACTTTCTTTTAAAACCATTACTACTCAGTTCATCTTCAGGAAACTTTCTGAGTCCTCAGGTGGGGGTAGGTGGCGCTCCTTTCTATCACTGTACATAGCATACACTCTGTGTACTTCTGCCTTTTCTACTGAAGCTGTAAACTTCTTACAGGCAAGTACTGTCTTTTGTCCAGAGCCTATCACACTGTCTTGCATACGGTGTGTGCTTTCATGAAATGAAAGAATATATTAATCTCTCTCCATTGGCTTATTACTCAATCTCTGACTACCTTTTTCTTTTACTTGATTTTTTTTTTTTTTAAAGTCCCCACGTATTTCCTATAGTGTGGAGTATAATGCCAACTGTAATAATCTGATGTGGGTCTAAACGATGATGAATAGGAGATGTAGTTTATAGTTAGGTGCAAAATCACTATTATCTTTAGGTACTTCGATCCTTTCTTCCTCTGTATGTGAACAGAACAAGCTGGATACCTTTGAGAGATTCTTTCCTCACATGTATTCTGCACTAACCTTTTCTTACTTTTGTTACTTTTGATCATGTCCACATTTTATTAGTAATTACTTTCCTTAAGGACTTAGTTTCCTTCTATCAAATATAAGTTAATTTTTTTATTCTACCACATGAAGTATTGATGAAAATACTAAATATTTTGCTCAGTACTGATGCATAACAGGAAACACTATTTTATCCTTTTAACATTAAGCCACTAATAACACTGCTGTTTTCTTTGCATAAAACTCTGTAGCCAAGTCCTGATTTTTTTCCTACTGCTAACTGTATTTTATCAAACTGAATCAAAAGCCATATTTCCAAGTCACGATTTCATATATATATTGCAGTCATGGTAATAACATGCTTCCTAGATGTTCTCTATGAGCAGAAAACTTTGCTGAGTGTTAACTGGTTTCTTTTTTTGTGACCATAGTGATACTGATACTCTAATTTAATTCAGACTTGACCTACCATCTCTGCCAATGCTAGTTCTAAAGGTACAGTAGTAAGGCAGCATGAGCCATTAAGAGTAATGAGAGAGCTGCATAGAGAGGGGATAGATTTTCCCATGTGCCTAGCAAGAGGTTTTGTTCTTATCCAATAATTTTATATTAAATATAAATTTTATTTTAAAAATAGTATTTCAAGTGAATACACAAGGAGACACTGAAGAAAATTGGTTATGAGGTATTAGAAGCAGTGATAAAAATCATGAGTTAGTAATATAATTGGGGTAATTTTTAATATGATTTCTAAGCTTAGAATGTACTGCCTCTTTATCTATGAAATCTGTGGCTAGATAATAGAATATGATTGAACTAATTTGACAGTTTAGAAGTCTGCAATTATATTTTGTGATTATTTTTCTAAGAAGTTTTCTAGATACATGAATGAAGCTTTCATTCAGTTGAAGGTTACAGGCATACTCCTTACTTACTTAAAAAAAAAAGAGGTATAGTACCACTCATTTAACTGCCATCTTCAGAGAGTGTAAAACCTGTCAGCAGGTTTTTCGAATAATTGGAACATGACTCTGAGCATGCATGTAATAGGAAAAAGTTACGATTCATTTGTACTCTCTCTGTATTGGAATACCATCTATATGTTTACAAACATTTTTCAGGGATTATAATTATTAGCTATTTCCAATAAAGCCCTATCAAACCAATTAAAATCAGGTTGCTTATAAATGGCTCTTTACAGTTACATGCATGACAAGGTTACCCCACCGGCCCCATCCACTTCCTGTGTGCCATGCTCTTCAGATCACCATGCCCAATTTGCGGCTTTCCAGTTCAGATGCTGGGAGCTGAAGTGTTATAGTGTTTAATGGGAAATACTGAGATTTTTGATCTTTCAACTTAGAGCACGTCCACCTAGAAATCAATTAGAGCAGGGATATGGACCTAAGAACCATGACTCCAGTCACAGAATTGATTGGCAAGTGGGGAATAGAAAGACAGGAGGACAACTAAGCTCTCTCTTCTAATCCTATTATCTTTTCTGTCTTCCAAGAGTGCTAGAGAAAAGGAGTATTTTTTGTATGTCAAACTACCTTGATACGTCTGAAGAATAGGTATTTGAGTGAAAAAGAGAAAGGACGATTATTTTAAATTACTCTCTAATCTAATTGTAGTCTTCTTTCATTCATCTTTTGTATGCCTAACACACAATAAGTACTCAAGAAAAGTCTGATCAATGAACTCGATGATTATAACTAATATAAACTCTGGTTAGTTTTTAATCATTATTAATAATTATCTTAAATCAACTACTATATTACAATACTCTTACTATTACGATTATGGTGCTTTAAAAAAACACATCATCTTGTATGTACAAAATCTTTACCTCTGTTATTCCGCTTTGTATGTTAAAGTGGAATTTGTATCAGAGCAAGAATATGACTCCAAACATTTTTCCTTCTATAAGGACATAGGAACCCAAACCTTAGCCTTTATAAACATTCTGTTTTAAAATATATTACAAAGAATAAATTGAATTGAATGTCAAGAATGAGTAAGTGAAAGCTTTTACTCATCTGGTTTACAACTTATATCAGCTAATTTTTCTAAATTTAAGTTGATTAAATTTTTTTGGTTGTTTCATTTCAAATGACCACACCAGAAGAGGGCTGTTTGTCATGGTTATTTATGCTTTTCCTTTCTGTTTTAGCTTAACAGAAATGTTCAAATTTAATAAATATGGAGTTGTTATAAACAGCAGCAAAAACAATTCCAATAAATTCAAATCGGTCATATACTTGAAATCTTTGTAAGGGATTATACACTAGGGTAAAATAAAAATACTCAGTTGAATTAAAAATAAACAAAATCACATAATAAAGTTAAAATGTAGACAAATTCAACCATGCTTAAAATTCAAAGTACAGACAGATCTCAGAGGGGAGGAGGATGGGGGGACAGGAAGAGATCAACCAAAGAATAGATATGCACAGCCCATGGACACAGGCAATAAGGTGGCGAAGGCCTGAGGGTGGGTGGTGGCGGCAGGGTGGAAGGAGGCAAAGGGGATGGGGTGGGGGACATCTGCAATAGAATCAACAATAAAAAAAAATTCAAAGTATAAAAGCATAGAAATGTGTAACCCCCACACTAGACCTCCATATCCTTTCTGTCCAAATAAATAAAAGTTCATAAGGAACACAAATGACAAATATAGGAAATTTAAAACTCAGACTCTCAAATAAGAAAAGGAAAAATATACCCATGACTCCCCCCCATGTGATTCTTTCTCATTACCTTTATCACGGTAGAGAATCATGGCAGCTCCTCTCTGTCTGGCCTGGGCCTCTG